CTTTTCTGCTGCCCCTCCCCCTTGTCGGGTCCCCTTTCTCCCTTGGCCCCCTCGATGGTTGTCACCGGTGCAAGCCTCTTTTTGAATGACCTGGTACACCGGGTAACGTAAAAATCCACGAGGAGGTCTGGACTTTCAAAAATAAGGAGAAGGGGCAGGAGAAGGGAAGGGACAGGTACAATCTAGGGCTGTTAGGAGTTAGTCTCTGGGGAATTGGCACCTGCTCTTGGTAGCCAGTCAAGGACAGAATGCAACGTGTGGAGAGACTTAGGGGTTAGGAAGTGATATTTTCTCCAACCGGGATCTCCAGGGAGCATTCAAGGTTGGGGGCGCTCTTCCAGCAGGATGGAAAAGCTGAGCTCTTTCAAGAGGTCCACTTTGCCTTCGAACGTGCACATTTCCTAGGGAAGATTCTTGAACTGAGTTCTGAGCTGAGAGTCACTACTAAAAAAAGACACGGCCCCAAAGGAGGAGGAGAATGTGAGGAACCCCAACGCACAAGTTTTCATTACTCGCGCGAAGGTGGGGAGAGGGCGGTGCGCACCGAGGCCAGGATATGCGCACAGCCGCGCACTCATTCCGGGCACAGACGCGAAGCTAAGAGCTTGCAGATCCCCTGCCTGGCTCTGGATTATCTGTTCTGTGTTTACTGTTTCGGAGGGCTTTACGTGAAACGAATAAATTTTTACTTGCTCCCTGGGACTGGCTTGTGTTTTATGGCATGTACTTATTTAAAGCCTCTTTTGTCGGTGTTGAAATGGTCCAAACTCCCAAATACTATGCAGAGCTATGAGCATGGACCCAGCCGAACTGCAAAGAGCATCATTGGTGCAGCATTAGGCGCTAGAGAGACTAGCCGCTTTATTCTTTTCCACTACACACACACACACACACACACACACACACACACACACACCACCAATACACACATATCCCACGCCCTGAATGTTTGCCTTTTCTTTTTCACAAACCAGAACCTAATGTTTGTTAATGTCTTATGCAGAGAGCTAGGAAAATGCATTCTAGAGAACTGTACCTGAAATACTGCAGGCATCGAGAAATTTCTAAAGAAACTTCTGATTAAAAGCAAGCCTCGATACAAATCTATTTATCCTCCTTCCATCTGTATCCGCTTAGGGCTTATTCTTTCCTTTTCTGACTCCCTCCACCCTCAAAAAGGTAAGCATAATGCTAGGCAAAAGCTAAGATTTGGCTCTTTTAACCCGTAATAGCTGTCATCTCTACACTTTGTTTATGAAATAGAGTAAGAACGGGAGGGGGACTTAATTTAACGACACAACCAAGCTGTATAAATACAATATTCATTTTTTAAAAGTGAAGTGGATTTGGTTTACTCTGAAGAACAGTAATTCAAACAGCACCTATCTGCTGCAGATAGAGTAGCTATGCACAGCTATACAGGCCAGTTTGAAATTTAGAACAAGGCTTTGATTTATTCCCTTTCTATCAGTGATTAATGCCCCTTAATTAGCTAATCTCAAAGCCATTATTTACAACCAGGGCAGACAAAGGGAAAACTGATGATCCAACACTTATGTCAGTTTGAAATTTTAAAACAACAAAAAAATGCTTTATTCAGAGTGGAGTCCCGAGACTTGCAGATGAGCCTCCAAATAACAAAGAAATCCAGAGGAAAAATATTTAAAACCAAAATAAAATAAGAAGGGACAAATAAAACTCCACCCACTAAATAATCTGAATCGCACCCCCCCTCCCCCTTTCCTTTTCCCAGAAATCGCTGCCGGGAGCCAAGGGAGAAGGCAGTTATTTAAATGAAAAAGGAAGAGACTCTTTGCATCTGCCTTCTACTTTCAATTCATAGAAGTTCTCAATTTCGGCGAAAGGGGAGAAAACGTTGCTAGTTGAGCTTTTCCAAATCGTTTACAAAGAAAGGGATTTGAAAGGGCCGTTTTCTCTGCGTTCTTTTCCTAGGAGGGCATTCGGGGCTGGAGACCAGTTTTTCCCCTTAAGATCTGGGGCCTCAAACCCTGCTGTCGGGAGTTATAGGATGTCGGTTAAAGCGCAGGCAGGGCCTAGGTGTTCCGGAATTTCTTTTCGAAATGAACTCTGCTCCCCCAAAGCGCCACCTCTCAGCGGCTTGATTTCAAGTGACCCTTAAAACTCTTCCCTGCCTGGAAGAGCTACCGTTCTTCAGAGTCTTTCATGGAAGAAAACCATAGATCGGGCATTCTGGGGGACTGTAGAAGGTTCATTTTGGGGGCTCCAAGATTTGGCCCGAAGCTGAAGAGCGCGGGTCCTGGTTGTTAAAATCGGCTGAGGAGCCTCGCAAAGCGGAGGAGCAGGCCGAGCCGGGGTTGCGGCCTAAGTCCACTTCCCGGGAGGAGCAGCAAGTCGCCAGTGGCCTTAGGTCATCGGGGTTGTTTATCCTTCCCTCTCCTCTTTCAGAGAGGGGAGTGCCCTCACGCCCACCCTCACCTCCATCATTTATTCCCCCCAAGGAAACCCTGTCCATGCCTTGCATCTCAGGTCCTTTGTGCGCTTTTTGCATGTTTAGAAATAGAAAAACAACCAAAGAACCCAGGCAGCGTTTCTGCGTGGGCAGCCTAAGGAGTACGAGAGTGGAGGTTTCAGAAATCGTCCACTTCGAAAGTTCGGGAGAAAAGCTTTAGATGGATTCATGGGCTCCTGAATCCAAGACCCCGGACGGGAACAGAAAAAGGCCTCTGGAAATCGGAGCACGCCCTTTAGGCAGCAATATAATGGGATTTAAAAAAAAAAAAAAGAAAAGAAAAAACCCTTCTGGAAAGTAGGTGGAGGAGGAGAGGGAAATCCCAGGGAACTGGAAACTGGGAGGGGAGGCCGGGCTTGGGAGCGAGGTGTGGGGGGCGGGGGAGGGAGGAAAGGAAGAGGGTTAGAGAAATCTAGCGGAGCGAACAAGAAAAAAAAGCTAGAGGACTCCGTGTCTTTTGTTTGAAAGCACCCGCGTCCTAAATCGTAGGAACGAGGTCGTCATTAGCGCTCTGACCCAGAGGAGAGACGCATTAGAGAAAGAAATGAACAGAGAACCTGCACCTCGCTGCTTGGTTTATTTCGCTCTCCTTGAAATCCCTCAGTCTCGAGGTTCCCGTCGCCCAAGCTTTTCCCTCTCCCTCCAGCCCCCTCCCCTTCGCTGTACAAAGCGCGAGGCTGAGAGGGGAGGAAAAGAGGGAATCGGAGAGAAAAAAACCAACAAGCTTTTCAGGGTAAAAAAAAAAAAAAAAAAAAAAAAAAAGCCTGCGTATCCAGATTTCCAACACGCTTTTTTCCATTTGCACCGACTTATTTGGAAACGGTTGTCGGGGGTGATGATTTCGTCTGAGAGATTAACCATTAAAGTCTCAAAGTTCCCAGTAATTGCAAAACCCTGTCTGTAAAAATACCGAATTTTAGAACTGTCTCCCCCCCCCCCCCCCCCCCCCCCCCCCCCCCCCCCCCCCCCCCCCCCCCCCCCCGCCGCTCCCGCCCTTCCCAAATGAAAGCCTGAGGATGCGCTTTGGTCTTGGGGACTCAGGGTGTGGTGGGCAGACAGCTGTTGAATCCAAACAAAGCCTATACTAGATCTGATGCCGCTTGGGGTTCCATCTGGGAGGATTTTTTTTTTTCATCTCCTCCCCATTCCAATGGAAAGAAATGGATTTGGGATGGGGTAATCGAATTATGTGTTTCTGGTGGACAGATGGAAGAGGAATGAGTGAACCTTTAAGAAACAAAAGGATGACTGAGATTTGGATTCCGGATGTGCAAATATGGAAACAAAATAACTAAGGAAGCTCCAGGGATACCAACACTGGAGTTACCTTCAATATTAACTCATAGGTGAATCTCACCTCTTCTCTACTTTCCCCTCTTCTGTCAAGAACGGTGGCCCTATCTCACAAACTGCTGCAGTAGCCAGAACTGCGGGACATATTGAGAAACAAGGCTTGAAATCTGCCTGAAACTAACAAAGCCACAGTCAGTCAGCCAGTCAATCCCCCCTTCTCTCCCTCTCCTTTCCCCCTCCCTCCTTCTCTCCCTCCCTCTCTCAAGTCTTCCACTAGCTAGGTTCTCCCCAATTATTGCCCAACTACAAGTCAACCTTACACCTGCTGGAGGGATCTTGGTGGTGGTGGTGGTGGGTAGGAGAGGGGCAAGCTTGGTTTTCAGCAGCCTGCAGAGCACTGTGGCAAACATGCCGGCACCGCTTAAGACTGTCCTTGGAAATACATTGGAGCCAGGAGCCAGGGAGTTTATCCTTAGCCTAAGACTTTGCTGGTTGCCCTTTCTGTTTCTCTTGCCTGCCAGTGCTTGCCATCCCTTTCCTATGTCTCTTCCTCAGCACAGTACCATTCTTTGCAGAGTTTGCAAAGCTCTCTTGCTGACTTTGGGTGGAAGGTTTAAAAAAGCGGAGAAAGGAGTGGCTCTGAAGGCATGGAAGGACACATTGGGTTCTCCTTTTTAAAATTTTAATTTCATTGACACGACTTGAAAGGTTTGTTTTGGTATAAGGCAAAGCTGCCAATTCCAAATACAAACAGACGGACACACACTGTGTGTATCAGATGTTGGAAATAAAAATGGTTTATTGATTGAAATAATAGAGGCATTATTTTGATTTGTCATGACATGAACGCTGATTTATAGAGCTCTTCCCCCATTGATTTCTTCTTGTAGTCCAGACACATGGAAATGATAAAAATCTCACCAAAGCTCACCTTGGTGCTAATCAAGACTGCTTGATGCACGTTATAAATCTGATATTATATTTATTGCTTATCTTTATTTGAGAGGTTAGTCTCCATTCTAGGATTGTCCCCTTTCAAAAAAAAAAAATTCGGATGCATCTGTTTTCACTTTGCACTTTCAATGGGCTGGAGCAGACAATAGTGTGAAAAACATCTGAAAATATGAGGCGACAGAGCTGCATGTGTGTTTCATTTTTGCAGTGTTAGGGTAGAAAATAACAAAAGAAAACACACACACACATACACACACACACATACAGAGTCTCAGGACAGCAGCACAAAGGGAGCTCTGACCCAGAGCTAACACACTAGACAAATTAAAGGAGTAAATCCGAGGAGGACCCAGGGCAGCGAGGGTCTGGGCTATTTGGAAAAGATCATGGACCTACCATAGAAATTTAACTTGGGTGGGGGAAGAGCAGAGACAGTGAAGTGTCCAGAATTGGAACTCAGTCCCTGATGCCGGGGACAATATATTTCATTAAAACAAAGAGTTTTCTTGGACTGCGCAATAAAAGAAAAATAGTTAACAGAAAATAACCTCTCCCCTCCCCAGCAACAAAACAACCAGTCACTCCAAACCAAAACCGAAACCGAGTGTTGCGGGATCACAAGAGATTCCCACTTGACCTGAGCCAGGCTTAGAGCTCAGGAGAGGTAAGTGGGGCTGGCGTGGTTGGAAGGAGACTAAGGAACGCCTTTTCCGTGAAGGGGCAAAAAAAAAAAATATTTGCAGAGTTTAAAGGCACAGGAATACAAAGACGGGTATGGGATTGTCTGGTTATCCACGGACACCGGCTGTTGTTGCCTCCCAAAGATGACTAGGTTACGAAAACAAAAGGGCCGTCGGTAAAGAGGAAAGATTTAATATCAGCGAGAGCATCCGAGGAAATCGTACTGAGCGCTGCAGCTCCGGAGCTGGACCACTGCTGCGGTGTAGCCAATCCCGGGGCCTGTAGGCGCGAGCCGCAGAGAACAGGGCAGCGCGGTGGGAGCAGGAGCCTCCTGGCCGCAGAGCCAGCCACGATGCGGGACCCAGCTCCGACTCCGACCCGCGGACGTGTGGGAAAGGATGCAGGACTCCGGGCCAGGGCGGTCCTAGGGAAAAGAGGATGGTTGAGCAGAGAAAGGGATGCCCAGGGCTCTCGATTTCTCGTTCCAGATTTCTGCCTCTGTTTCCCCGCCGTCCCAAGGACGCGCCCTAAGAAAAGGCGCCTCCGAGAGCGAGTGTCCCATCCCCAGACACGGAACGCCCCTGGCACCTCAGTACTGAAGGGAGAGTTTCACTTCTGACCTTCCTCCAGGTCGTTTATTATTCTTGTAATCATTTAAATTTATTGTGCAGCCTGTTGCGCTGTCGGGACAGAGGGCGATCCATTTGGGGCTCCCCAATTTCCCTAAAGGCAGTCTTTTCCCCGGACGCCGCGTCGCTGACCTAGTGAGGGCACGCGCGCATTTTCTTGTTGAAAAGCGTCTCCGACTTCACCAGGCCGGTCCCCTCTTGAAGCTCACCTTAGGCAGTCGCTGGAAGTTCCAGTGCAGGCATATAAGCTTTCCTCTGGCAGGATTCTTCAACTCCAAGGCTGCCTTCCCCAGTCTGGTTCCATGATCACTGCTCATATCTCTGCATTTAGTGCTTAGGAAACTTAGAAAGCCCGCTTTCATTTGTACGTCGTCTGCCGACAGCCCCTTTGAGTTAGTGCATCCAATCCCCCCTCCCCACACCCAGCGCACTCATTTTTATTTTTAATAAATGATTTAAAAAATCAAAACAAACCTCTGAATCAGTCCGCCCAATTTTATGCTCCATCTCCTCTATATAGGTGTTAGATTCTCTCTGCCAATCGATGGGAAAGAGTGTTTAAGGACATTTGCAATTTCCTTTGTCACTTGCCACTCTATGTGTGTAGATTTTACATATCATTTGTTTACCAAATCAGTTCTGATTTCCTTAGTTCAAGATTCAGAATTTTTTTTGTTTGTTTGTTTTTAGATTAATTGCCCAGCACTGGAAGGACAGGATATTTTAGAGGGTCCACTTGATGCAAAAATGGTCAGCCAGCATTAGGGCAAAACAAGGAGATTGTTCTGACAGATTCTGGTCCTCTGCAGGTTTTGAATGAACTCAAAAAGCCTTCTTTGCCTTCCTAGTACTTTTTACACTTTTTTTTTTTTTTTTTAAAGGCCATACCTTGAAGTGATGGTTGGGTGCCTAATTTCTCTTGGCCTTAACCTCAGGCATTACAAGTTCCTCCTTGCCCAGCCCAAAGCACTGTGTAGATCCAACACCCCTGGTTGCAGATAACATTCAGTCATGTCAGTTCTCTTAGCCATATGATGCCTACCTGCATTCTGATCTTGCATATTCTTAGGTTCCTTATGAGTCTCACTGGTTTACTTATTGATTTCTTTACATGATTGCATCATGACTCAACACAGCTGAGTGCTGTGGACCTTGTGGATGATACTATTACTTCCCTGATTAAAAATCTACACAGTAAGATTTTTTTTTTTAAATGAAAGGTTTGGGTGGTACAAGCATCCTTTTGTTTTATTTTTTTTCTTTTTCCATAAAATGAATGAGCTTTAAGTTATAAGAAGCTCAAGTTAACTATGCAGGTGTTTGGCAACCAATTTCAGGTTTTCATGGCATAATTATCTTGGATCATCTGATGGCCAATTGGATTAGATGACCACTTGTCTACCTCTGAAGGAATCCTAAGGGCAACTTCATCACAATTCACTTATCAGCCAAACAATTGCTATATCTAAAAATGCATCAAGAGTTTTTGTCTATTTCAACAGATAGCAAGATTTCATGGAATTTGAAATTTATAAAAATAGCTAGTTATATTTTGGGGTCAGATTTAATTTTTGCTTGGGTCATTTACTTTGGAATTTATGAAGGTATCCATAGGTGTGGCATCTCTTTAAGCTTCAACTGTAATTAGGGATACAGGTGAGGTGGTGATGTTACTGAGATGTTAAGGACAACACACACACACATGAGTAAACAAAAGAAAGCCCTGCAGTAACAGCCTTACTTCAAAGCACAGCTGCTCCGCTGGGGTCAAGGTGGTTTCTTCCTACCTAAAAACAAGATTGTCTACCTAAAATTATAATAAAGACCTTGACAGACCAAGGGTACAGCTGGCCCAAGATGCAGTCTCTTGGGAATAAAAGGACAATTAATAGAAAGTCCTGTTGGTCTTCCATAGTCCTGTCTTTGTTATGATGTGGGCAGAAGTAAGTCAATAATCAGAATTTTGAATAAGCAACAAATGAGTGCCCTTCAAATATTAAACGGTGAACCGATATTTTATGGATCTGGAAAAAAAAAAAGAAAAGAGGACACTGTCTTCTGAACGGACAGCAATTAGATTTTGTAACTAGACAGAAGGATTGGCAAAGAACAATAGCTCAAATGATGGCTTGTCTCATTCAGTCAATAACTAGGCAAGAAGAAATTTGGACTAAGGAAATTTACCTGTCCAAATCTCTGTATTATGGTTCCAAGTTCACTAAGCAACTTTCTGATTATAATTTACATTGCTGTGCATATCTGATGAACTACGAGAATGTACTTAGGTCTCTGATATTTTACATATGTATATGAATATATTGGATGGATATTCTGATTTTAACATCGGTCTTAATGACATTGGTTAAATGATTCTTCTCTAAAAGAGTAACTCTTGGTTTGCTAAGAAGTCAGGTTTCTAGTCCTGAAAGAGCTAGGACTGGTCTGGTGGACTATAAAAAGCTTTCTGGGAAAGGCTTCCTGTCTGCTCTTTTAGAAAAGGCCTGTTAACACCTTCCTAGTACCCAGAGCGGCTCATTGGCTGTCTGCTCCAATTTCAATGGATATCAATGGTACCTAGAACTCAAAAGTATTTAAGACTTATTTTTTTTAATGAACAAGTACAAATATCACAAATGTCTCTGCTTTCTATAAAAAATTAATTTGTCTAAACTATTCTTGTAATTAATTCTAGCTTTGGTCAGCACCAAATCATGAGTTCACTAAGTCTGTCACCTACTGCTATAATGTATCATATCCTTTTATGTTTAACATAGTTTAATTAGATATTCTTTTTGAAGTTAAATTCTGCCATTTAGGGAATGCATAAGATTCATTATTTTATTGTTTCTCTTCCTAATTTTTTAACCCCTATCTTACCTCAGCAAAAGGAACTACCAGATTTATTTAGCTGTCCCCACAGAAAACCCTTCATCTCTTGATTGTGAATGTGGCTTATTGCTTCACATTTTACATTTGTTTTTTCTATTATTGCAGATAATATTACACCTATTGTTTAAAGATAAATGCACCTGACTTTTGTAAAAATTTAGTATCTAAAATTAGGGCTTTTGGAGGATTAAATCAGATAAAACATAAAAGACTTAACTCAATGTCTAGCACTTAGCATGAAAAATATATTAGTTGCTACTATCTTAGACATTAGATTTTCTCTAGCTGAAATTTTTAAGGCATGGGATATATTGACCCCGTATTTTCTGTTCTTTCTTTGTGGCTAATAGCTTAGAATTCTTCCTCTTCTATATATATTTTAAGTTATTTTTCCCTAAATACATTTCATTAAAAATGTTTATATTCGTGGATTTAATACAAACATGGAGACTGAAGCTTGCACTGTGCAACTATTTTTACAAAGTTAAAATAATGTATAATCCATCACTAATCTATTGAGTCTCACTTGTCATCCCATCAATATTTTACTCACCCTTCCTTTTTCTTTGAATCCTAGAGTTGGAAAAAAAACCTTAAATGTCAACAAGTTGTAGAATCATTGAGTTTTTCATTGTAAATGAATTTAGACATATCTGGTTTCTAGAATCTAAGTCAATTCTTAATTTATCCATGATAACTAAGCTACTTTTATCTTTTAATGTTCTTACCAAAGTTACTTTAAGCATCTACCTAAATGATATCTCCTAATCTCCTCTTCTTCATACAGTGTTCCAGTCCTGTTCAAAATGCTGTGCTGATTGTGGGGCCATGATTTCTTCTTACATATTATGTGTGGCATTTATTCCAATGGCTGATGCTTGCTTTTTTTTAATGGATCCTTTGATTTAAATATATTTTCTGTAATTGTTAAGAATTGAAGAAACAACCCTGGTTATTTCTAGATCATTTTTTAAATGGATGGTTCTTGTGTTAGCAATCCATTGAGGTGCAGCTCAGTGAAGATTTGTCTAAGAGATTATACATTGTCACTGAAAATTTATAAATTTCACATTTAAGATTTTTAAAAACAATCTCTGGATGCACATTATTTTCTCCAGATGATTTGTAAATTGAGATTTAGTAAATCTCAATAATTCTGCACTGCTATAATGATGATAACTTTGACCCCCTTCAATGACTTCAGTAAACTTCAATGCAAGAAGCGTTTCAGACTTACCATCATGGTTTTATGCATCCTGAGTGCAATTTTTGCAGGTGATTTAGTGTATTTATGAAGAAAGTGCCACAAACAAATAATCTGAAGATGCAGGCCAGGCTCTATCACCATAATTTGTTATATGACTATAATTAAATCCCTTGACTTGCTCTTTATCATTTATTTATCTGTTAAATGGGAGTAATAATGTGTGTGTGTGTATGTGTGTGTGTGTGTGTGTTAGTTTGGCAAAACTACTACAGACAAAACTACTGTGGACTGAATGGATTAAATAACAAAAACATATCTCTTACAGAACTGAAAGCTGGGAAGTCCAAGATCAAGATGGCTTGATTTAGTGTTTACTGAGAAGAACCAAGAAAGGTAGATCTTTTGGGCCTTTTTATAAGAGCATAATCCCTGCATGAGCTCTCATCCTTGTGGCTTAATTACCTCACAAAGGCCCCCATGAAATCCTATTATGTGAAAGGTTAGGATTTCAACATATGAATTTTGGAGAGACACAAAAGTTTTTTTCCATAGCTTTGTGCATGTGTGTATGTGTGTGTCTGTATGTGTACACATGAGAGAAACTAAACTTAGACCATGTAATTTAAAATTACAAGGCATGAGAAGAAACTTCTTTTGGACTACTTCCTCTGGGCCATGTCTTGTGTTGGGCATGGTGCATATATCATTTCATCTGATGGTATCATTACTCACATTCATGAAGTTTATGATTGGAAAATTATCAAATAATTTCCAGTTTTCTATTTTCTTCTCTATCTGGTTTTATGTTGCCAACCAGGTTTTAACCAATTATTCCAACATCTTGATTTTATCCTTTTTTTTTTTTTAAATAATGGTCTCTTCTTGTTTTAGGAATTAAAAAGCTTCTCCTATCTCCTGTGGGATATTGCTTACATATAACTTTTGAAGTCCCTATCTGTTTTAGACACTTTACTTTCACAGATGATAACTTTTCTGCCTTTAGAGTTGGGAGCTTTGCTTTTAAGATCTTGGCTTTGCTCAAATATTTGTTGATTTTTGGCTTTGTGCTTCTCTTCATACTTGAGTTTTTCTGTTTTCATGTGAACAATTCTTGTCTTCATAGATTGTGAGGAAGGATCTAGATAGGCTCTTTGATAGAGAGTATAAGTAGCTCATCTTTTGAGCTTTTAATATCACTGTTTTTCTCGGTGTCATCTGCCAAGAGGAGGTAGTACTGCTTCTTCCTCTCAGGCATCCATAGGCACTGGTGACAAATGTCCCCACAGCTTTCTTTTCACAAAGAGAGGAGAACTCCTTTTCCTAAAACTTTTGCCTAATTCATGTTTATCTTATTTCTGAAATGGAAGCAGCCCTGAAAATGTTTTTAATATTTTCAACAGTTTTGAGCTGTACTCTTTTGGAGTGCATACCTGGAACCTGGCTCAACTTCTCCGAATCTCACAGCAAACTCAAAGGGACATCACTACTTATTTTGGCCCCAGGAGGATAGGATGAAAAAATTACTGAGACTCTAAGGGTGTTTGGGATCTGTGGCCTTAAAATACTTTGTTGCGCCTTCTTAATCAACTGCTCTGATGGTTTACCCTGAGACTTTTGCATGAGTGTTGCCTATCTTGTTTCTGAAACTTCGGAACCCTGAAATTGCTTTCAGTATTTGCAATAGTTCCCCTCTCCCCCCCCCCCAGTATTGGGGATCAAACCTAGGACTTCAGTGATGCTAGGGAAGTGCTCTATCACTGAACTATGCTCCCAATCCTTTGTAGCAGTTTTAAGATGCTCTCTCCTTAACTTTCTTCTCCCATCTCCTTTCTGTCTTTCTGAGATTCTTAAAAATTTCTTGTCCACTGACATCAACCCTTTCTTTTCCAACGATGACAAGGATTTTTGAGGTGGGATAAAGTGGGATGACATGGGAGGGGGATGGGAAATGATGTCATGTTTAACCTAGCATCTTCATCTTATGCACCCTTGAAGACTTAGGTTACATTTGGTTCAGATACATTTTAAAAATCTCTTTTAAAATGTTTTTGTCTTTATTATTTTGCTAGGCACTACCCATTTTTGGTTTTGTTGTGTATTTTAAAGTTATTTTTCTCTTAGAAATACTTGCTGCTTTATCAAAGGCGTCTGTAGAGAACAGATTATTTTTCTTTGTCTGCCAGAAGAATGGAATTACATCATTATGTTTTCTTAAAATTTTACTTCTTTACAAATACTTTCCAAATTATTTTCATAATCAGCATCATTTTTTGTCCCTTTTCTAAAATTAAATAAATTACATAAATTATTATTTTGGTCCTTTTTCTCTGCATGGGGGTTTGAAACCTCTTTCATACACAGCAACAAAGTGACTTCCTCAAGAACATATCCCATAACTAGTTTTTGTACACATTTCACCAGAAAATTGAGTGTTTTGTTTTCTGTTCTGTCCTAACAAATATTTGCATTCATGAACACTGAAAAATGATTCATGATTTGGTTTGGAAGTGTGAAGATTTTGTGAAGTCCTCACTCTTTTTTTAAAATTAATTAATTTATTTTAATTAGGTATATATGTGAACAGAATGCATTTTGATTCATTGTACACAATTGTAGTACAACTTAGTATTTCTCTGGTTGTACACAATGTAGCATCACACCATGTGTGCAGTTATACATTTTACCCAAGGTAATGATGTTCATCTCATTCCATCATCTTTATGCCCTCATGCCTCCCCCCCAACCCCTGTTATGGATCAGCATCCACTTTTCAGAGAGAACATTTGGGCCTTTAGTGTTTTGGGATTGGCTTACTGCCGCAGTCTGGCTGCAGCAAAATAACCGGGGGGTGACAAACAACTTGTGTACATTGATAAAGGAGGAGTGGGAGCCGTTTATTGTAGGACAACAGAGGTATTTATACATTCCACACAGCTTATCTTAATTAACATAAACTAGATACAGCAGTCAACCAATAAGGAATCTCCACACTTAATAGCTCGCTGGCGTTACTTCACAAATCACTCCCTCTGGCAAAATGCCAGGCGCCATCCAGACTTGTTTACAGACTCTAGCAGCTTGCTTCGCTTAGCATGATATTCTCCAACTCCATCCATGTACCTGTGAATGCCATAATTTTATTCTCTTTTAATGCCGAGTGATATTACATTATGTATATATACCACAACCATTCATCTATTGAAGGGCATCTAGGTTGCTTCTACAGTTTACCTATAGTGAATTATGCTGCTATAAACATTGATGCGGCTGTGTTACTATAGTATGCTGATTTTAAGTCCTTTGGGTATAGAGTGAGGAGTGGGATAGCTGGGTCAAATGGTGGTTCCATTCCAAGTTTTCTAAGGAATCTCCATACTGCTTTCCAGATTAGTTGCACCAATCTGGAAATCCCACAGCCATATATGGGTGTGCCTCTTCCTCCACACCCCTACCAACATTTATTGTTGCCTATATTCTTAATAACTGCCATTTTGAATGGCATGAGATGAAATCTCAGAGTAGTTTTGATTTGCATTTCTCTATTTACTAGAGATGTTGAACACTTTTTTTTCATATATTTGTTGATTTAATGTATATCTTCTTCTGAAAAGTATCTGTTCAGCTCCTTAGCCCATTTATTGATTGGGTTGTTTATTTATTTGGTGTTAAGTTTTTTGTCTTCCTCTTTTTTGAAGTTTTTAATACAATTGTTCTACCTTTCATACTTGTGATAGACAGCCCTAGAGAACTTTTTAACAGATAGAACCCTGAAATAAAGGGGGATTCAACAGGTAGGTTTTACTGTGTGGGTGGAACAGTGGACAGGTTTCATGACCCTGCACTTCTCATGGTGTCAGATCAGAACCCAGGAGTACTCAGAGCAGACTCATACAAACTGGGAATGAAGACAAAACCTTAGTTACATGAAGATTTTGCCGTAGGTCGACTATGTGTCTATTTGGATTTATCAATCCACTGCCATATTCTTCAGATAACCATCTAGATTGACTAGCAGGCAGACTCTGATCCTTCACAAAAAACCCTGTGTCCCAAAGTGAATGGCCTCTTTAGCACTCTCAGAGCTTTTAGCAGAATTACTCCAAACCCTTTATATGAACAGTTTAGCAATTTCCAGGAATTTTACACACACACAAAATACATAGTAAAATCTCCTTATAGAAACTGGTCCTGCAAACTTGGAATTTGTATTAATTCAAAGAGGAGCTTCACTGAGTTGACTTATAATTAACAAATAAAACAAAATGGATTCAGTCTTTATAAGTTTTTAGTGAATAAATAGTAGAAAACTTAAAAAACTGATTCTGAATATCCTTGAATTCTTATTCTTTATTTTGTTCATCAAATTTAAGTTTACATGCTAATTAAAGAAATAAAATTTATACTGTAATTAAAATCTTACCATTTCCAGCTCAATCTTAGAATGCAGCTTGTGGCTCTATTGCTCCAAACATGGGAGGCATATTGGTTGATAAGAAGAATTCTCTATTTGTTAGCAAAATTTTGTCCAAAACTACTTTAGAGATGGAAAACTTGAACATGTTTATATAAGTGATACTTAAATCGAACTTAAGTTTCCTCATTTGGCTTGTCTGATTGGTCATACATTTGTAAACTAAAAATGTAAATCAGTGAATACTTGGAAATTTTCCAGGTTATGCTAGCTGAAGTCTTCCTAAACTGAGATAGCAATCTTGATGATAAGCTCAGTTTGTCAGGCTCAGTTCCATATGTCCCATTTCTTGTTTAAATATTTGATTTCTTAGAGCACTGCTTTAGAACTTGGGGATGAAAAAATTCTCACTCCAAATGTAGTTATTAGGAAAACGACAGACAACTTGGTAAAGAAGTCCTACTGTTGATATGCTTTATAGCTGCTAGCAGGCTGAGCTATGCTGGAGTCAGGTTGTTGCTGTGTTTGAGCTTGAGTCACAATTTAGCAAATAGAAACTGTGCCCTTCTCATTGCACCACCACAACAAAATCACCTCTCAGTGTAGCTGAGAGAAAATCCAGTTGTTTTATTTTGAGGTCATTTTCTTTTCCAGAAATACGAATCTGAATAGTAAAAGCAGTAAGTCAGTAGCAAATCAAAGATTACGTACTGCTACCTTAAAGAAAAAAAAAAGGTACATTTTGGTCCATCTTTCTGTACATGCACATTAGTTTTCTTTATCACATTATTTGCCTCTCTATTTGCCACAAATGGCACTTCTTTCTCAATACTTGTGATGTTTTTACTTGGCTGATGCACAATAGCACGATCTATTGGCAAATATTGTTTTGGAGATGAGGAAACTGAGCCCCAGAGAAGGAAAGTAAATTTCTCATAATTGGTTGGAAACACAGCAGGAACAAGTACCTACTTCTTCTGGT